GTATGGATATTCTATATGTACAGTTTTTGCTTTACATAGGGGAGTTAAAACTTCAACTTCAAATACTTTGAATTACTATAACCTATAAGATAAAATAAATTCTGTCAAAGCATTTCCCTTTTGATTTTCACTTTCTATACAGCTGCTGACACCTCCTGGGTAACAAGAAAAATATCATTTTTTAATAACCTAATAGGTTACTATTCTTCCTCTTACTATAACTTTTAAAGTTTTTTTGTATAAAAACAATCTTAGTTCCTAAATAGATTTTTTATTTAACATCAGTTATATCTTTATCACAAGTTATTATAATTTGCAAGAGTAAAAGTAGCTTCCTATGCTTCTGATTTTCATTTTTCTCTTCTGAGTGCTTATGCACACATACATGTAAGTACAGGTGTATATATAATGCTAACAACCAACACTTTTGCGTTAGAGTTAAGCGGTGGGGGACAGTAACGTCTCTGAAAAGAATTTCAAGAGGATGCAATATTGTTGTTTTACATAACCATCATTGTGATTCTAAGTATTGGATTAAACAATAAGTATAATCGTGACAATATACGTTAAATACTTAAGATAGTCTGATGAATTACATGACATTGCAATTCAACTATTTAAAAAAAGGCTGCATTATCGATGGAACATCAAAATACAAATTAAATGGAAAGTTTGAGAACACTCAAGTGCAAATTCTGTTCACTTCTTCTGAAATGGGAAAAAAATTCAATTCAAACTGGTGTACTAAGTCAGAAGGATGTTCAATTTAAAAAACATTGACAAATAAAAATTGAATGTTTAAATAAGTCTAGTATAGGATGGATTTTATCTTTTCTCTGTATATACCCAGTACTTACATCACCTTACATTAATAGTAGTAGGCATTAATAAAGTTTTAAGTTGATTTTTTTTTCTTTTCTTCTAAGTACTCTTATTGCATATGGCATTCTCACATGCATAAACACTTTTTCAAATAATCAAAAATTGAAAGATTATTAGGGGCTATACAATGTTTCCTATTACATGTAAATGACTTTTCTATGGTTGTCAGCAGTTTTTCCCCCTCCCCCCCAAATACGATGATGGATTAAAAAAACTTGTCAATTAGTGGCTTTTCCTTTGCCCTCCATAAATAGCCTAGAGTTGTCTCATTTCCAAGTTTTAGTCTGCCAATCTGATGTTCCCCAACTTAGTTCAATCCTCTAATTTAAAACTTTATAAAATTAGCATGTTTTAATTGTTTTCAAGGTCTTTCACAAAGAAGTAAATGTTTTAAATTTTATCACAATTAGTATTCCTAATGGACAAATTCCTTTCCACTTGAAAACTACCTCCATGACAAGGCCAATAAAACATACGTTATTTCTCTGCTTTTATATCTGTTCCAAACACAGTTAGATTCAAGCAGTTTTTCAGTCTATAGTAATTTGAACATCTTACTGCAAAAACTGCAGCTCTAGGTTGAATCAATCTGACCACTAAGTTCTGACAATACTACTTATGAATAAATTCCAGGGACCCAAATTCTGCATAATATTTTATAGACAGTATAAATTAATCCAAAATAAACTTGTTCTAAGTTTTTCTTAAGGGTGCCAAGGTTTTCATAATTAGTTACATAACTGAATGACTATTATAAAATACACATACTCACAAAACAGCCAAGCTATTTTAAAATATTAATCATTGGCAATTTTAAGCCTAAAAATTAAAATGCTTAATGCTCTACTGCAAGATTTTTCTATACAAGTCAAGTAAAATCGCAAACTACTGGAACTACTTTGTTTTATTTATTAAATTCACTATCTTTCTTCACTAATCTTACAGAAACAAAAAAGCATTTTTATCTGCATATGAAAAACTTGTTTTGGAACAAAAGTAAGAATAAATCCTAACCACAGAGTCTTGACAAAAATAATTTGTTTGAAACAATTAAAAACACATCAAAGGAAACAAGAACCGCCTAAAGTCACATTTAAGTATTTTCACAGAAAAAAAAAACATGTTAAGTATTTCAGAAATAGTTAAGATTGATATGCATAGTACATGTATATATCAATTTACACTCAGAAAAAAATCAATTTAGATTCTGGTTAAGTTTAACATTTCTAACAATTGCAGGAAAGTGTTTATTCCACACTAAGGAAAAGCCCCTTTTCCGGCAGATTTGGGCTGGTCTGATTAAAAACAATTTAACTTCTTAGTCATTATGCTGTCCATTTTAAACATGCTTGTTACCATGTAAATGAAATCTTTACACTGGGGATTTGAAGAAATTATAAATCAGAATAGATTCAAAGTGATACTTTAGGATTAAACTTGATTGTTATTATTTTAGTAAACATCAGAAGGAAAGATCTTTTTTAAAGATAAATTGTGATTTTCAACCTTTAAAATTAAGAGGAAAAAAACCCAGTGTTTGCTTCCATTTCCAAATCAGGAAAAATGGAAGAAAAAAAAAGGTAAACTTTGTTTCTCTAGGTTTATTAATTTTCAGTGCCCAAACTTTTTTTTTTAGGATTTAAAGAGGCAAAAGTTAACAAGCAATAGCTAATTGTAAAGTATTGTTTATGATTTAGCAAAGATTAAAAATACTTAATAGATTGAAAGGCTTTTGAAAATTCATGTTAAAATGCAAGTTCTATTAGTATTTTGCTTTTTTCTTGTTATGCACAATAAAAAATGTTTTCAGAAATATTCCTTAAGTATTGAGATTTCTCATAATTGTGTTCAATATTCTGTTGAAAAGTTTGTAAATTAAATTTGAATTTATAACATGAAACCACTAGCAAACAATCACAAAATACTGGTACAACTTTGTCTTAGATCATTTTTATCTCCTTTTACATCTCTTCGATTGCAATGCCTTACTTGATTCATCCTAAAATATAACTCGAGTAAAAAACGCACTATTTCCAGAAAATTCATTCCTGAAATCACAAAACTTAATCTTTAAATTTGCCAAGATGAAAATCTCAAGAGACTATTTCAATTCGTAGGAAGTCTTTAATGAATTTTAACAAAATCTGTGCCAATTATCTATATGAAACATTTCTATGCATAGTGGATAGGATTTTCAAAATTTCAACAAATCAATTTAGAACAAAGATTATGGGAAATCTTATCAATTCTGCAAGCTAACATTCCTCAAGAAAAAAATAACTAGCGCCCCTTAGTGCTCACATTGGGAAAGACTCAACTTAAGAGTTCTGAAACTTTTTTTTTTTTTGGACATTCCAGAAAGTTTTCTGCCTCCACAATTCTTCCACTCAACTGCCAACACAAATAGGAAAAAGCAGAAATACTTAAAGGGACAGTTTAACTTTTCCGGTACTTCTAAACACTCACAGGTTAGATGATTCTATTTAGAGTGGAAAAAGCCAATTTGAATGTCTGTTTTTAAAAAACAAATTTAAACAAAAAAAAAATCTCAGTCATTATAATGCGTTTAAATATTGCTAGTAGTTCCGTGATTTCCAGGACTACAAAGGCCTTTCAGATTCTTCTTTACCCATTTTTTATCACAAGGGACATTTCCGGTCTTTTGTTCTTTAGTGACACTCAAAACTGACTGGGTTTCCTCCCACTCCCATACTCCTCAGTAGGATACTTTATATAAATTTAAATAAACTCGAGATGTTTCTGAAACTTTAAAAATCCAATGTTCATCTTTATTATCCTTAATTTTGTTCTCTTTAAACAACCGGTAAATTTTCTTAATCACCAATCTCTTTGCTACTCAATTTCCATAAAGCATCCAACAACCATCTTCTTTCACCGCGTCCATAAAACTCCACAAGAGAAATCAAAGCTCCAAACTTGGGTTGGCCAGAGCCGTTCTTTGGATCCCTAACTATAGCTTCTGCTCTCAACCTCGGTCCCCCAAACTGCCTGCTGCTTCCTTTCCAGAACCCCCTCCTCTATCCAGCACGACAACGCCTTCAGGCACATTATTTTCACCTCTCATTTGACTTTCCCCTCCCCAAAAAGTGAAGTTAAACTCGAATGGTTTTCGTTTCCTCAAATCAAAAAGGACAAAATGCTCAGTTGTCATTTTGTCCTCCCCCCCCTTCAGTCAAATTAGCACCTCTCCGGTGGCATTTCTGTCTAAGTATAAACAAAGAAACGCCACTTGGTAACTTCTCGTGGAACATTTGCAAGCTCTACAGACTTTAAACTGAATTCCGCCCTAATCTGCCAGGAATTCCACCAGGCAGAGCAAGGCATGGGTAGTAACGGGCAGGATCTGTTTCGAAAAGGTTAGGTCAAACTTCCCTTTCGGAAGAGAGGGAAAGGGCTCGGCGGCAGAAGGGACACCAGGAGACACGCGGGGCCCCGCGCCCCCTTCCCCCCGCGGTCCGGGGGTCCGGCGCCGGGCTCCGGAGAGGCCACTTCACTGGGTAAAAGGCTCCGGCTTTAAAGGCACGCCGCCACTACCCTCTCGGTTTTCCCATTTTTCTAAAAATCAGACTCCAAGCCGCAAGGGCGGCGGGGGGAGGGGGGAAGCGGGGGATCGGGACGGGGTCGGTCCTCCTGCTGCCGCTTTCCCTTCCCCAAAGCAACTAGAGGGATTGAAAAACAAAAAACTGGGGGTTGACTGACTGGAAAAAGATGGGGAGCGGCCGGACAGGGCCCCGGCCCCTCGGTCCTCCAAACCAAGTTTTCCACAGCTCCCCAGGAGCTTCCCGAACACAACCTCCAGGCAGGGCTGCCCTTCGTCAGGCCCCGCACTAGCCCAGGACCCCGGCCCCATCGCCCGGCTCTCCAAGGGCCCCGCCCTCCCAAGTGCCCCCCAGACTTTCCCGGAGCTTCGAAGCCGCTCGGGCCAAGCCCCCTGGGGCAAACAGGACCTGGGCCTCGACCCGCCGCCGTCCGCCCTCGGGACGCCGTGCTCTCCCCAAGTCGCCCCCCAGCCCCGGGGGGCTCAGGAAGAGGCGGCGGTGCCGCCGAGGCAAAAACGGGGAACCAGGCTGGGGGGGGAGGCGGGGGGAGCCTTTTACCTTCGTCCAGCAGCCGCTCGAGGTGGTTGAAGATCCCACAGAAGTTGGGCAGGCTGCTCATGAGCTTCTTGTCGTTCATCAGCTGCATCAGGTAATCTGGGGTCGGCTTGGGCTTCTCCTTCGTTTCCATTTCCCCGACCATATTCCAAGCCCCGCAGCTCACACCGCCCGCCGCCACGGAAGAAAAGGGGGGCACAGGGGGCGGGGGGGCGAGCCCCAAGAAGCCGGGGGCTGCTCCGGGAGGGTCTGCAATCTTCGCCCGCAGCGGGGAAGGAAGGGGACGGGAGGAAGAGGAGGAGGAGGAGGAGACGGGGGGGCAGGGGGGGAAGCCGACTGTCCCCACAGCGCAGGAAATCGAACCGCCCGCTCTGCCCCCCCCACCCCCCGCAGGCACTTTTCCCTCCCGCGGCCGCTGCTCCCACAACGTGGGTCCCGGAGCCGCCGCTCCCGCCGCCGCCTATGCTCCCGCCGCCTTGTCCTCGTCCTCCTCCTCCTCCTCCTCCCGCCGCTCGCCGCTCCCGGTGCTGCCTCCGCTGCCCAGCTCAGCCCGTCCCCTCACGAGTGCCGGCGGGGTGGGGAGGGGGGAGGAGGGGTTATCTCCGCGGGGCCCCGCTCTGGGCGCTGGGGGAACCGCTTTCGCTGGGAGGAGGAGGAGGAGCCGCCGCCGCCGGGGTTGTGGTTGCTGCTGCCGCTGCTGCTGGGGCTGCTCGTTTGGCTTCTCTCAGGCTGCTGCTGCCTGCTCCGCCGCCGCCGCCTCTGCCGCGGGCTCGGGGTCTCTCTGGGCTGGTCCCCGACGCTGCCGCCTCTGCCGCTGCTGCCGCCGCGCACTGACTCTCCCGCTCCTCCTCCTCCTCCCCTTCCTCCTCCTCCTCCTCCTCCTCCTCCTTCTCCTCCTCTTCCTCCTCCTCACTCACTTGGCTGTGGAGTTCGCTTCAGTTCAGGCGGCGCTGCCAGCAGCGGCGGCAGCAGCGGCGGCGGCGGCGACGGCAGGGGGAGGGTAGAGAGGAAGGGGAGGGGAGGGGGAGGAGGAAAGGGAGGGGAGAGAAAGAGAGAGACACTCGAGGGGAGGGGGAGGAAAGGGAGGGGGTACAGCGAGGAGACCCAGGCGGGGCGGGGCGAAGGGGAGGAAGGGGAAAGCGGCCGTTAATCCGAGACTCGGTCGGTGTCTTCCCCACACCCTCACGCACCCGCTCCTCCCTTCCCTCTCGCCCTCCCGCTCACCCCTTTCTGCCCTCTCTATTCCGGGCCTTGGAGTTGTTTTCGGCGCCTCCCTCTCCCCCGGGGGATGAGGTGGGGTGGGACGAGGGGGTAGAAAAAGAGGAATTTGGGGTGGGAAGGGGATTGGGGAGAGGGAGGGAGGGAAGGAAGGAAAGAAAGAAGGGGAGAGGGAAGGGCACGCGGGCGCAGCCCCGCCGAAGCCGAGCTCGGGGGTCCGAGCGCGAGGCGCGGAACTCGGGAGGGGGAGGCGGGGTTCCCCCTCACACGCAAGCCTCGCTGCTTCCCCCCCTTCCTCCACGCGGGGATGGTTGAGAAAGACTGGGGCTGGGGGGGGGAGTGCAGATTGGGTGGAAGAGCTACGTAGCTGTGTGCTGTGAAGCGGGGTGTTTCCCAACGAAGAAACGAAGAGAGGTGCCGGGGCCGCCTCGGCTGTCCCAGTTTGTCTAGCTCCCTGTCGGGGAGTGCCGAAGCTCTCCCTCGAGGCCGCTGTGGACTGGGCCCACTCCTGCGCCTGGCATGAATGGCAGAGGGGAATATGTGTACGTAGGAGTAAGAAGCTATGTGTTTTCACGCTGTGCAGAGTACACGGGGGCTGGGGGGGGCGCGATCTGGTACAGGCGGTGGCATTTGTCTGCATCTCATAGGCTCCTCGCATTTATTTGTGAGTGCCCTTTCTCCACGCGGCTCCCACGTCTCACAGTTGCCACTCGTCCCAGCCCGCCGGCCTGCCTGCTAGCCTTTGGCGCGCTCTCAGCCTCGCGCGCGCGCGTTAAGCTATTTGTGGTCACCGGGGACTTGCGAGCGTAGACCTTTGTGGTCGCGTAGTGCAGGGGGGCGTCTCGTGCACTCCGACGGAGGAATTTCCTGCGGAACCTGCCGCGCTAGCGTCGTCGCCCCGCCCCCCCAGCCTCGCTGAGCGCGTGCGCGAGCTCGCTGGTCGGCGTCCTGTTTTTATTGTACTTAAAAAAAAAAAATAAAAACTCGTTTCTCCAAAAAGAAACACTCCCCTTGCTTCGCTGGGGGCCCGTCGGGGTGGGCGTCACGTGGTCTGGGCACGTAGCTGTAAGTTCCGAAGGCGCGTGCGCAGCAAGGAGCCGACGGCTACTGAGGAAAGGATTTGGTAGCTGGCTGGTCACGCCCCTTTCCTGGGCTCTTTCTTGGCCCCTCCTACTGTCCGAGGTGGAGAAAGCTAGAGGAGTAGGGTGGGGGAGAGTGGGGTGGGGTTCTTTAATTTATGCGCCTGCGTGGGATGAGGTGAGTGGAGTCGGTCTCTGTTAAGGTGGGTGTCCCGGGCAGGTGCTCGTGCCTGGCCGAAGCTCGCGGGGATCGATTTCGTCTCTTGACCGGGGTCGGAGGATAAACGGTTCTGGCAAACCGCCGGCTATTTTCGGCCACCACCACCTCGGGGTGGGGTTCGTTTGGGCCGACACTCCGCGGCTATACCCAGCCCTGTCGTGGGAGTCCTGGCCAGTGCCCGGCGCAGCTTAGACCCTGCCCCGGGCTGCCTCCGAGAGACTGCCCCCAGTTAGGCTCTGGGCGCCCCGCGGGCTCTCGCTAATCGTCCGGCCCTTTGCTCTTGCGGCTTCTTGTTCGGTAGCGGACTGGGAAAGTCAGGCTGCAGTATCCTTCCCACCCCCCCTCACCCCAATTTCCCCTGGGCTGGGATCCCCCGAGGTAACCGAGATGGAGGAGCTGACTTGTCTCCTCACGTATGTTACTAATGCACTGTGCTGTAATTTATTCATCATCGATGCAAATAAATTATTTTCCTGTGAGCATTTCCTGGTCGTGGTTTCAGCCTTGGCATTCGCTCCATTTATGAAGCCCCACCAGTGTTGTTGTTGTTGTTGTTTTTATTTTGCTTGCTTAGGGATTTTTTTTTTTTTTTGGTCATTTTCTCCTTCCCATCCCAAAGCAAAGGGCAAAAAGAATAAAAATGAAGTGGCGGAGAAAGGGATGGGAAGGAATGAAGGTTACTGGTAGACTTGCAATTCCTATGTCTATTATACGTGTACACACACCCACTAAGCTGAATGTAGCTCAGAAGTATAAAATGACAATAAATGGGCAGACTACATAGGAAGCAATTGTGGATGGAAAAAAAAAAGATCTTTGTTATGACTGACATAGTATCATTACTATTTAATATTATCTTGTCCGGGCATTAAGGAAGTGCTTCTTTAGGTAGAAGATACGTATGTCTGCATTTTTCCGTTACCCTGAAAGTCAGTAATCTAGCATACGGAAGTATGAGTACAGCAGTTATAAAATAAATGGAATGTTATGGCATTGTAAATACAGTGGTTGGAATTTATTGTTTTATAATGGCATCAGCATTCAGTAATAAAAAGTGCCACTGAGATAATCCAGTAAAGCATGGTAGGGATTTTGAATTGCAAAACAGCTAGCATTTATATTTACAAACCTCTCAAAGATAACTGCAATGAGCACGGAGCCGTCTGAACTCTTTATTACAAAATACCACAGATTTTGAACATTTTCAAGTATATTTCAAAAAAAGGACAGAGCAGAATATAATGTTGAAGTTCTCTTTCAGCTTATAGGTTAGGTATCAGCCTCTTAATCTGAAACTATGTTTTATTATAAATCACTTAGAGTGCATATCGTATTTAAAAAGTAAAACAGAGACTTTAAAATGACCATTCCGGAGTTACATTTAATTTGGATGAATTAGTTAGTCGGCTTCTTACAGGGTTGGCATATATTATTTCATACAATATTCATTATGTAACATTTGAAGTATAACGTTTATTTCAATTAAGTTTGAATATTAAAAGGTACTTTGGCATTTAAATTTTGGATAATAGGTAACAGATGCATTTCAAATTTGTCTATTCTCTTGACTTCTGTTAATGTGTTTTCCCTTAAAAGGTCTGTAATTGGTTTGTTTGGTTTTTTTTAATCAAGATATTTTATTTGCTGCAATCAGCTTGGTAAAGTAGTTAAATTTTATTTTCAAATATTTAATTTTCCCCCAAATTTTAAAGACCTATAGATCCCTTTGGAAGAAAAAAAAAATACCACCTTTTCAATGACCCAGTTAAGATTTGGGCCAAATGATCCAGAGTTGTAGTTTTTTTGTTTGTTTGTTTGTTTGTTTTGTTTTTGGTGAGGCAATTGGGGTTAAGTGACTTGCCCAAGGTCACACAGCTAGTACGTGTCAGGTGTCTGAGTTGAAATTTGAACTCAAGTCCTCCTGACTCCAAGGCTGGAGCTTTATCCACTGAGCCATCTAGGTGCCCCCAAGAGTTGTAATTTTTGATCAAAAAGTTGTGGGTTTAAAAGATAAATAAACCTTCATTTATATTTAGTTTCTATATGCCTGTCCTAGTCTAGCAGAATTAGGGTAGGAAGTTAATAATTATTGATGATAAATTATTTTATCACCCTTCTTAAGATTGAGAACCATTGCGGCTTACCACAGAGTTGGCGTTGGTTCCAGGAAGACCGGAGTTCAATTCCCAGCTCTGATCATATGACCATGGACAAATCACTCTACCCCTGAAAAGCTCCTGGCAACTTTAAGAGTATTAATTGCTGAGAAAGTAACAATCTGCACTGCTAAGAGTTCCTTCACAGAAAGTTCTCTATTCTAATGAAATGGTAGATCCAGTTCCTATTCTTATTCTTACCATTCATCCTCAAGTACTACCATTATAACATCAGAAAAAATATGACCCTTTCAATGCTAGAAATTTACTGTGCTTTCTTTTGTTGTGCTCTTTCAGATTTCCAAGTTTAGTTGGTGGGTGGTTGTCTCAAGGAGAGATTTTTTAAAGGTGTCTAACTTTAGTTACTATTAATTATTAATCTATTTGGGGAAAAATGACTAAGGGTTAGCATTCACTTAACAAATATTTATTGAGCACCTATGTATAAAAACTACACCAAAGAGAATTCAAAAATATTAACTCATAGAATGTTGGAACTGGAAAGGACTTAAAGAGATCATCTACCCCAATCCTTTCATTTTGCAGAAGAGGTAATTAAACCCCAGATAGGTGAGGTGACTTGCACCAGGTCCCAGTCAAGTGAGCAGCAGATGTGGAAATAGAACCCAGATTCCAGTTCACTGCTGTTGCAGTTTTACCAGCCTTTTCCCCAGGACATTGCCAGCTACAGTTTTCTTGTAGGACATTTATGAAATACCTCCAATTGGTCCTTATACAAGGCACAGCCCTTCAC